AATTGGTTAAAAAGTCCATCCCTAAAAGTCAGCTTATCAGATTTAAGTGAAATTGTGATGATGATAGCATATTTTTCAGAGTCAATCCGAGACGTTGCTAAATAGGTTTAGAGAGAAGGGATATAAACAACAGGTTCTAGTAGGATCTTTAGAACAGGTTAATAAATTAAAAAGGGAAGATCTGCTGGTAAAACAAGAAAACAAGAATAGAAAAGGTGGGGATCTGGCCTTTATTACAGGCTATTCGAGTCAATTTAAATTGGTGGAAAGGATTATTAAAAAGTATTGGCCGATTCAAAAGAGAGATGAGGTCCTAAATTAATTTTTCCAGGGAGACCTAGGTTTATCTACAGGAAGCCACCAACATTAAGAAGTAGACTAGTTAAAAATGTCCCTGATGTACCTAGGAAGAAGGTAACCTTTTTGGATAGGCTGGGATTTTTCAAATGTAAATGATGTATAGCATGTAAAAACCTGAGAGGTGATAATAAAACAGTATTATGATAGTTTTTCAGTTGTGTTCTAATGGTTCATCATTAAAATTGAAAAATTTATATTGTGTGATAATACCCATGTTACATATTTGCTGGAGTGTTCTTGTAACCTCCAATACATAGGTAAAACTACTAGAAAACTCTCTGTAAGATTGGGAGAACATATTAGAAATATTAAAGGATTCAAATATCACAGTTTGTCACACCGTTTTTTTTTAGTGCCATAATAGGGACCCCGGCATCTTTAAGAATCTGTGGAATAGATAGGATTGATGCTCATGGAGAGGGGGTGATATGGTTAAAAACATATCACAAAATGAAACGAAGTGGATTTACCAAATGGGAACATTAATTCCTAAGGGGTTAAATGCAGAGATCGATATAAATTGCTTCTTATCTAATTGGTAAAGAAACTGATTGTAATTAATGTCCTATATTGGTATACTCTTTAATTTCTGTTTTTTGTTTTTTTTTTTTTTTTTTATTTTATATTTTTTTTTATTTATTTTAATTTTTTATTTTTATTTTTTTATTTTTCATTTTTTTTATTATTTTTATTTTTTTTTTTTATATTCATATTTTTTTTATTTATACTTTTTTTATTTTATTTTTTTTTTTTTATTTTATTTTGATTTGTATTTTTTTTTTTTTTTTCTTTTTCTTTTTTTTTTTTTTATTTATTTTTTTTTTTTTAATTTTTACTTTTTTTTTTTTTTTTTTTTTTTTTTTTTTTTTTTTTGCGTTTGGATATTTTTTATTTTTGAGAATTATTAACTGCATTCAGTATCTATTGGGTATGTAGGAATTCCTCATATTTTAAATATTGATTTGTAAATTGCTGGAAATATCATTGTATTTAAACAACTTTGTAATAGATTGGATATTGGATGATTAAGTGTTTCTCACACGGGCGAGCAGAGGATGATGATTGAGGAGCAAGTATTTTCTGAATAATTTAGCATTGATGAGAGGGGGAGGTGTTGGGCTATAAAAAGCTGCTGATGACTGGAAGTGATGTCTTTTTTTTTTTTGTGGGTTTTTTTTTGCGTCGACGCACTTCCGGTCTGCCATCAATACGATCCATGTCACTTCCGGTGAGTGGAACGCACGCCGAGGGGTGCGTTCCATGCGGCCATCTTTGATTTTGATGTTTGATTACCTGTTATCACAAGGCTGTGAGGTTCCTTTGTTACTGTTTTTTTTATGGATCTTTATGAGCCAATTTTTTTATTAAACAATTGCTTTTAATTCTCTTTTTTTTTGTGAGTTTTTTTTTTATTTTTTTTTATTTTGTTGAGTGGTACTGGCAGTATTACGCTATGATCTCTATTTCTTTTGCACTGTTTTTTTTTTTCCTGAAGGAGTGAGTTGGAGGAGAGCAACATATCAGTCAAGGTTTTTAAAGAGATCTGGTGAATTTAGAGGGGGCATAGGATCCCTAAAATCCTAAAAGGCGCAATACTCACCAACATCTGGTGAGTGCGGTTGATGTTGATTTGTCACTGGTGGATGGTGGAAGCACTATTTCTTTTTTTTTTTTTTGTATGTTGTGTTCATTATACACTTTTGGGAAGAAGGACTTTTTTTTTATATATATTTATTTTATTTTTTTTTCATTTTTGGGCACTTTTATTATTTTTTTTTTTATTGATTTATTATGGTGAAGATTTTATTTGTGTTTTTTTTTTGTTTATGTTTTTTCTTTATTGAATCATTGTTGCTTTTTTTTTGGTGCAATTCCTTTTAAGCCTAAGGAACTGATTCTTAGGGACAGACTTGAACCAAGTAGAGTGATGGCAGCAATTTTTTTCAATAAAACTATTTCTATCAGTCTCCTTTTTTTTTTTTAGAGATAACAACCTTATCTCCTTTTATTTTAATTTTAAAGTCCAAAAAATGTATCTCTCCTTTACTTGATTCATGCTGTAAGACAATCCCCCTATCATTGTTATTCAAAAATTTTTGAATTCATTCAAAGAATCAACTTCCCCTTCAAAAATAAGAAGGACATTGTTTATATATCTTTTCTAGAGTATTACCTGAGGACATATCCGCTCATAAATAACTTCCTCTTCTGACCTAGCCATGAAAAGGTTGGCCATATTAGGGGCAAACTTAGACCCCATGGCCACACCTTTATTCTGCAAATAATATACACCATGAAACCAAAGTCCGGCGGTGAGCCATCCTTAATTAAAAAATAATCCACCGCTTCCCTACTATGGGAATAGGAAATTATGGTGTACAAAGAGGCCACGTCAGCAGTGGCCAAAAAAAAAAAAAAAAAAAAAAAAATATATATATATATATATATTATTTTATTTTTTTTTTTTTTGTTAATGACCTCAGTGGTGTCCTTTAGGAAGGAGGGAGTAAATGTAACCAAGTATTGTTTTTATTATCAATATATTTACCTACCCTGGAGGTGACTCAATCCCACTGATAATGGGTCTTCCAGGGGGGTTGGTAGGGTTTTTATTATGTACCTTAGGTAGATAATATATGACTGGTACGCTTGGAGCCACTGGAACTAGTAAAGCCCTCTTCTTATTATTAATAATCTTATTCTTGTAATCCTCTTCAACCAAAATAAATAGTTATTTTCTATATTTGGTCGTGAGATTACAATTTAAGGGACATACATGTCTCTATCTGATAATAAACGGTACATTTCAACTGATAAGCTTCCTTGTCTAGAACAACAATATCTCCCCCCTTATCGCCCGGGGTGTGTACCACAATGTAATTTCAATTTCTGAGGGTCTCTAAACCCCTCTGGAATCTGACATCTCTTTTATGTCTTTTAATAGATAGGTCCTCCAAATCTTTCAGGACTAAATCTCTAAAGACAGATAACGAAGAAGCCGCATTCCCTGGTGGATTGTAGAGGGAGGCATTGGACAAAGATGTATTCTTAAACCTAGATTCACCAATAATGACATCATTATTTTTTCTAACCGGATTGGTAATTAAATATCTTTTAATATTCAACTTTCTTATATATTTATGAACATCTATAAAAGTCACAAATTTATTAAGCTTTCTTGAAGGGGCGTTTTTTATACCATGATTCAAAACTATCCCCTCTTCAGTCTGTCCTGAACTCAGCGGCCAGACTCATCCACCTTACCAACCGCTCTGCATCTGCCACCCCCCTCTGTCATTCCCTCCACTGGCTCCCAATTGCCCAACGCATTTAAATTCAAACTACTAACACAGACATACAAAGCCATTCATAACGCTGCCCCAAACTACCTCACCGATCTGATACCCAAATACCACCCTACCCGTAATCTTCGCTCCTCACAAGACCTCCTACTTTCTAGCTCCCTGGTCTCCACCTCCCACGCCTGACTGCAGGACTTCTCCAGGACTTCCCCCATTCTCTGGAACTCACTACCCCAATCCATCAGACAGTCACCTACCCTCCTCACCTTTAGGCGCACCCTGAAAACCCATCTCTTCAGGGAAGCCTACCCCGCCCTCACCTAACAGCCGATCTCCTCCTACCACTCCATCCCCCACAGCCACTTCCTCCTGTACCACTATCCCCTCCCTCCTAGATTGTAAGCTCGAAAGAGCAGGGCCCTTGACCCCCTCGTGTATTGTATTGTTATTGTATTGTCTCATGTACTGTCCCCCACTATAATGTACAGCGCTGGGCAAACCTTTTAGCGCTATATAAATACTGTTATAATAATAATAATAATAATTTTTTTCTCATTATCAGATAATGGGGAAGAACTAAGATTAAATAACACAAAAATAGAAACAGAGAAAAGCCACCAATAATAACACAAATACTTTGTGTCCTAATACTATCTCCGATTCACTTATTGTAGAAGTGTGGATTAATAAACCGGGGAATGCATAATAGAAAATATGGTAGTGTGACAAGAGCAACACCACCCAAAGGGAAAGTGGTTACTTAAACATCCACGCGGAGTAATATAGGTTCAGTAATTACAAAGAGTACTTTATTTTGATCACATAGATCATAAGGAGGTTGAACACAAGCACAGTGAACATATCAAACAAAATAAAATCATTTAAAAGCACTTAGCGTTATTATTTCATTTCTGGGTGGTTTGGGCACATAGGGAACCATATAAGGCATAATTTTTGGATCTGGAATTATTTTGTCCTTTCTTTCCATCTTTACTAAAGAATATCTTTCTACTGAAGAATAAGGCTTTTTTTTAATGTCATTTTTTTCATTATATGTTTTTTTTTCACTTTTTTTTTTTTTTTTTTGTAGTGATATCTTTTCAACACAGAGGGCGACATATTTATTTTTTTATTTCTCTTATGCAATTAGTTTTTACTATATAAGGCAATGGAAATGAAGTCCCCTCCCAGTTCTGACGAAGTCCGCGGTGATTGGCGGACGAAACGCGTTAATGATGTCACTACACTCGGCGTCTTCATAGGGTTTGCCCACGAGGAGGGAAGGAGCGGCGTTTTTTTTTTTTTTAAGCTCCATGTTAAGAAGGCACGATTTTTTATGAAAAAACTACCATAAGGCTACCTTCCAGCAGTCCGCATTTGGCAATACTAAATTTTTTTTTTATAATTTCCAAACGGGGGGCAAGTTATTTTTTGCTTATTTGGCTAAGTTAGGGGTTAGTTTTTTGGTTAGGCTTAATAAGCCCATATTTTTTTTTATGGAATACTATATGTGCCTAGTACCCCTGTTTTTTCAGGGAATTTTTTTTTGGAAATCCTCTGTGGAGGAATATTTTTGTATTCTATGTCACACATGTGCTATGTTTATTATTGATATGGTTGATATCCTAAGGAACCGCCCTGCTATCTCAGTTTGAGCAATTTTTGGAAACCCTTCAGTGGGTATATAGATTCAGGTATATATTGCCTGCTTTATATTTTTTTTTACTCTTTTTTTTTTTTTTTTTTTTGAGACTTACCTTTTTCCCACTCATTATACATTATTTAAACAAGCAGAAAGGACCTTTTTTTATTTTTTTTTTTTTTAATTTTAAGTCCTCTTTTATTTCACTTTTTTTAATATATACCTTTACTTATTTTTTTTTTTTTATTTTTTTTTTTTGCCTGATACTTATGATTTATATACTTTTTATATATATCCTTAGAATTACCTTTTATTGTGGACTTTGTTTCACTTGGGGTGGTTACCCAGGAAGTCTCTACATGGGGTAGAGTTGGTGAGATATATATGTTACTCAAAGTTTTTGATCACCATCTTTCTGTGTTCTAGTTTCTACTCACCAGGAAGTTACTCAACATATCCTGGCACATACCAAGAATATGTTTGAAGACTACATGGTCAATCTTAATACAAGACTGGACTATATGCAAACTTAGGAGTATATTGCCAGAAAATCCTATTGCCTTATATGGTTCCCTATGTGCCCAAACCACCCAGAAATGAGGACGCTAAGTGCTTTTTAAATGATTTTATTTTGTTTGATATGTTCACTGTGCTTGTGTTCAACCTCCTTATGATCTATGTGATCAAAATAAAGTACTCTTTGTAATTACTGAACCTATATTACTCCGCGTGGATGTTTAAGTAACCACTTTCCCTTTTGGGTGGTGTTGCTCTTGTCACACTACCATATTTTCTACTAAGATTAAATAAACCTACATCGCTTATATACCCGCCTTTTTTTTTTTGAGTGGATCCTCCTCCCCCTCTGGTGCCTCTTTTGGTTCTATTATCCTTTTTGCACCTAGATTGGCCATTGGAAAAAAAAATTGTTACCTCTCAACGTTGTTGTCACATCATTATTTTGGTATGTTTCATAATGTTTCTGATATGATCCATTACCAGTCCTGAACGTTCTTGAGGTAACCGGAGAGGCATTCCCAAAATGTCGCCCCCAATTCCTTTGACCATAAGGATATTCAGTAATATACCTATCTACTTCTTCAAGCCATCCCTCACTCTCCTCTTCTTGCAATGGTGTGAAGCAGTTGGAAAGATGGATATCCCCAGGGGTGTATTTACCACAAGGCAAACAAGGCATTTGCCTAGGGCAGCATTTTTCAGGGAGGCAGCAACACTCCCCGGAAGAAGGGACTCATGCAGCACAGGAACCAGGTGGGATCTGAGAGAGGCTGCAGGCTGCTTGATGGTGTATGCAGAGCCGACTCTTGTTCCCAGGGATGTCCAGAGCTGTGAACGTGAGTGCCTTTCTCTCTCTTGCCGGGAAGGGAACCCCCTCCATTGCATGTGAAGGCTCTCTCAGGTGGTGGGGCAGGGGTGTTATTGGTCAATGTCAGGCTCTCTCCATGGGGGGGAAGGGGGGGTGTTTGGTCCGTGTCAGGCTCTCTCCTTGGGGGAAGGGGGCGCACAATTTTTTTGCTGCCTAGGGTAGCACAAAATCAAAGTACACCATTGGATATCCCCCATTCCTTTATGGCCCAGATATGCTTTAGAGCTACCCCTTCCTCTTCCTCTTCCTCTACCTCTTCTCCAATTAGAGGCTCTATGGGAAGAATATGAGTAATAAGGTTTCAAACTTGATTCTGAAGCAGCCTGACTCCCAGACTGAGAATAACAGGGTCCTTTTGTAATAGGGGGGCCCCTCGAGATGGAATTATCTGCCGTACCACTACTGGTGATGTTTTCAATAGTCATGCTTAAGTTGCCACTTAAAAACTTTATTGGATTTATAATCTAAATCTCTCAAATATTTTTTAGTTTTTTTTTTTCCTCAAGAGGCGTGTGAACAAAAAAAAACCCCACAGATTCTTACAAACTCCAAACATTGATTATGCAAGAAAGGGCTGCCATCAGACAGGATGTGGCCCAGAAGTTGATTGACAGCATGTCAGGATGAATTGGAGAAGTCTTGAAAAAGTAGAGTCAATACTGGAAATATAAACTTAATGTAAATTGTCAATAAAAGCCTTTGACACTTATGAAATTTCTTGTAATTATTCTTCAGTTTACCATAGTAGCATCTGACAAAAAGTTCTAAAAACACTGAAGCAGAAGACTTTGTGAACGTTAATATTTGTGTCATTCTCAAAACTTTTGGTCAGGGCTGTTTATTGATTGGTTTGTGAGAAAGTTATAGTGTCTACAAACTATGGTATATACAGTATATTGAATTTTTAAAAAATATATCCTTTCAAGTAATGGTGATGATTAGCGCCTTATAGTGGGAATCTGACAGTGCACCGACCAATAAATAAATATTTCAAAAATACAAAAAAAACCCCACTGCACAAAGGGATTAAAAAATTAAACTATTATAAAGTGCAACACGTGCATTCCCTACGGGAATATTAAATGTGTAAAGGTGATCAGTGTCCTACCAACACGCAAAAAATCCCAAAAAAATCCAAATAATCACTCTGCCGTGATACATATACAATTGCACAATGACAAATACAGCAAATCAAATGTCCATGAAAGTGCTCAAAACACAATATTCATGCAAGTGTTGCTAGGTGTCCATTCCGTGCAAATCCTTTAGTGGCCGAAGTGCCCCCTCACCTCCTTAAATCGACCCTACAGGGTCAGCTCGCTCTAAGACTTAAAACCCCTCTGGCAACAGGATCCTGTCCACATCCACTCCCAAGTCCTCCGATCCTTTTTGTACCGCTCTGTCAGCAGCATCCCCTCATGCTATAGATGTATTGCATGGGTATTGATACAGGGATTTCAAATATGGCCCCCACGTCGGAAGTGACGTCACCGCGCACCCGGAAATGCCTCCTCGCGTACCAATATATATACAGTGCCTTGAAAAAGTATTCATGCCCCTTGAAATTTTGTCATGTTACAACCAAAAACATAAATGTATTTTATTGGGATTTTATGTGATAGACCAACACAAAGTGGCACATAATCGTGAAGTGGAAGGAAAATGATAAATGGTTTTCAACATTTTTTACAAATAAATATCTGAAAAGCTTGCATTTGTATTCAGCCCCCTTTACTCTGATACCCCTAACTAAAATCTAGTGGAACCAATTGCCTTCAGAAGTCACCTAATTAGTAAATAGAGTCCACCTGTGTGTAATTTAATCTTAGTATAAATACAGCTGTTCTGTGAAGCCCTTAGAAATCAGAACACACCAGACAGGTCAGGGATAAAGTTGTGGAGAAGTTTAAAGCAGGGTTAGGTTATAAAAAAAAAATATCCCAAGCTTTGAACATTTCATGGAGCACTGTTCAATTCATCATCTGAAAATGGAAAGAGTATGGCACAACTGCAAACCTAACAAGACATGGCCATCCACCTAAACTGACAGGCGGGGCAAGGAGAGCATTAATCAGAGAAGCAGCCAAGAGGCCCATGGTAACTCTGGAGGAACTAAAGAGATTCACAGCTCAGGTGGGAGAATCTGTCCACAGGACAACTATTAGTTGTGCACTCCACAAATCTGACCTTTATGGAAGTGTGGCAAGAAGCCATTGTTGAAAGAGAAAGCCATAAGAAGTCCCATTTGCAGTTTGTGAAAAGCCATGTGGGGGGCACACCAAACATGTGGAAGAAGGTGCTTTGGTCAGATGAGATCAAAATGGAGCTTTTTGGCCTAAAAGCAGAACACTATGTGTGGCAGAGAACTAACACTGCACATCACCCTGAACACACCATCCCCACTGTGAAACATGGGTGGTGGTAGCATCATGTTGTCGGGATGCTTTTCTTCAGCAGGGACAGTGGATATGGTCAAAGTTCATTGGAAGATAGATGGTGCCAAATACAGGGTAATCTTTTAAGAAAACCTGTTAGAGTCTGCAAAAGAGCCAGAGCTACAATGGAATGGTTTAGATCAAAGCATATTTATGTGTTGGAATGGCCCAGTCACAGTCCAGACCTTAATCCAATTCAAAATCTGGGGCAAGACTTGAAAACTGCTGTTCTCCATCCAATCTGACAGAGCTTGAGCTATTTTGCAAAGAAGAATGGACAAAAATTTCACTCTCTAGATGTGCAAAGCTGGTAGAGACATCCCCAAAAAGACTTTTCCTTCAACTTCACAATTATGTGCCACTTTGTGTTGGTCTATCACATAAAAATCCCATTAAATACATTTATGTTGTTGGTTGTAACATTACAAAATGTGGAAAATTTCAAGGGGTATGAATACTTTTTTAAGGCACTGTACTAATAGATGAGAAAAATGGGAGGGAGTCATTGGTAATATCCATAAAACATATAATATGCAAACAATAAAAGACTGGCTTAGACTCTACACCACCATTTCCACTCAATATATAATATAACAAAATTGTTTGAACCTGTTCATGGACAATCCAGTCACACCATACAGTGTTTACAAAATGTTATATCGCATTTATTCAAAGCCATAAAGAATCAAAAGAAACATATAACAAACCAGTAATAACACACACATATTGACTAATGAATAAAAACAACCAGTCAAGATTTCTTCACTCTGAATATTGGGTGTTATAATGTATCATGACATGAACCCAATGGGGTTGCTTTACTACAACTGGAGAGTGCAAAATCTGGTGCAGCTGTGCATAGAAGCTTCAGCATCAACTTCCAGAATTTTTTTTGTCTAAGCTTAATTGAACAAGCTGATGTTAGAAGCTGATTGGCTTCCATTTTGACCATCCTATTTTGACATCCACACTATACTTTTCCTGACCGGCACTTAATTGTGTGGTCATTCAAGTCTGGTAAGAGCAAGTATTTTTTGAGGTGCTGGTGATGGTGGTTTTCCAGGATGTCTTTTTGAATTATTTGAATCTTTTTGTCATGAGAGACTTTTCATGTTGTTTTTCTTCTTTATTTCTGAAAATCATTGGACATTTTAATTTATATGTTTATTTTTTACCTTATGTTTAGTTTTATGTTTTATGTATTGATACCTGCAATACTGTGCTGTCTGCTTTTTTTTCTGTTATTTTTAAATGACATAGCGCGGAAGTGTTAAAGTGTTAATAAACACACACATATTCACACCCATGTAACTATTTATCTATATAATATGAAAAATTATAGAGATTGCAACTTGACTAAGGGATTAATCCAAAAATCCCACTGGCAGTCCATACATGGTAAATTCCAGACCGACTTCAGCAAGCAATCATAAGATACATGTGAGATGGATATTATAAACAAACCTTGTCAGGTGTTCACCAAGGCTTCGTAAATACTACCTCAAACCAGAGGTCATATAACCCTAATACAGGGAAAGGTGCTGTTGTAAAGTGGGTGTTTTACCAATGCTTGATGGATCCCACCTCAGGCCAAGGAGCTGATGACTCAAAAACACATGATGTGATATTAGCATGGTCCATGCATGACACCAACTCCACCCAACCGTGCCGCAAGAAGTGTGAGCAGCAATATTTTAGGACCATGATATTTCACCCCCAAGCCCCAAAATGGGGCTCCTACAAAATTAAAATAAATAAATAATACAATTGTAAAAGAATGATAAAAAAAAATTGTAAAAAAAATTTAAAAAAAAAAAATCAGTAAAAAATAAAAACCTACTGACACTGTCCACTGCACTACAGACACCAATCTCTGCCTTACTGACAATGTTCATGCTCTACTGACACCATCCTTTTCTGGCAAAGTCCACTGCCCTACTGACACCATCCACTGCTCTACTGACTGTACCGTCCCTGCCCTACTATGACACCAACCTTTGCCTACTGGCAAAGTCCACTGCCCTACTGACACCATCCACTGCTCTACTCACTGATACCTTCCACTGCCCTACTGACACCAACCTTTGCTCTACTGACATGTCCACTGCTCTACTGACACATCCACTGTCCTACTGACACCAACTTCTGCCCTACTGACACCATTTACTGATCTACTGACTGATACCATCCACTGTCCTACTGACACCAAACCTTTACCCTACTGACACGTCCACTGCTCTACTGACATCGTTCACTGCTCTACTGACTGACACAATTGTCTGTCCTAATGACATCAACCTTGCCCTACTGATACCATCCACTGCTCTACTGACTGACACCATCCACTGACCTACTGACACTAGCTTCTGTCTGACTGACCCATTCACTGCTCTACTGACATCGTTCACTGCTCTACTGACAGTCTCCACTGCCCTACTGTAAGAACATTAATTCAGAATAAAACAGACGTCTGTATCTTTTCATATCAGTGTCTCCTCTAAAATGACAACTAGTCATTGAGCTAGTACATTTTTAACTTTGCGTGTGTGTATGAAGCTTTGAAAACAGGTGTTAAAGATGAACCATGGTTATTCATGTCTAAGAGGTCAGCAGGTCATAAGCTTGTTTTAAGAATAGCAAATTGAATGTAAAAAAGATATTGGTATGCAGTAGAACAAAGAAAGGATATGTCTTTTATAAAGAAAATCATGTCTTAATCTATAATATAGTTTAGTTGGATAATTATTTATCATATAATTAATTTATTAGTTAGGAATAGTGTGTGATAAGTTTAGTATCAATTATTGTTGGTTATATGCATTTATGTGATCAATTGTCCCTTTCTCAAAGATATGTGAAGCCATTGTATATCATGTAACAGTATCATGTATTTCTGTCGTCTAAGAGGTTTGAAGATAACGTCACACTAAGACTTATAAGTTTAGAAGGTTTACAAATATGGACCAAAGAGTTATAAGTATAGATGATGTACAAAAAAAGGATTTTACTCATTTAGCTCACACTGAATTAGGAAATAACTGTTTAGTGGGTTGGTCTGGTAAAAATTATAAAAAGGTGTGCCTTAGAGATAGAGAGTGGCATACACACACTCACACTCACACATCAATACATTATACAGCTGACACGCACTGACATTTTTTGTTTTCTTAAGGCCTACAAAGCCTTGATACACCTGTTGTCTTCCTTGCCAAGACTGAAACACTTGTCATAGAACAGGCAAGAGATTAGACATTTCTCCAAAGCTTATTTCTTTTTCCATAATCTTTTGTTATATTTTACTCTGTATTTTATTTTATCTTTTGTATTCATTTTATGTTGATGCCAAGTGTGAATTAACTTGTTGCCGACCGCAGATAGCCGAATGACGGCTGCACTGCGGCCGGCCAGTTCTGAGTGGACGTCATATGACGTCCCCCCCAGAACGCGCTCTCCTGCGCGCCCCAGGGGGCGCGCACCCGGCGATCTCCGTGATCGCTGTGTCCTACGGACACAGCTGATCACGTGATGTGGTAAAAAGGCCAATCACAGCGGCCTTTTACCACCTGATCAGCGGTGTCCAATGACACGCTGATCAGAGGGAAATGCAAGTGCCGGTTCTCGGCTGCACTTTCCTCACGCTGTCAGATCGTGAGGAAAGTATTGCCGAGAACCGACACAGCTGATCACGTGATGTGGTAAAAGGCCAATCACAGCGGCCTTTTACCACCTGATCAGCGGTGTCCAATGACACGCTGATCAGAGGGAAATGCAAGTGCCGGTTCTCGGCTGCACTTTCCTCACGCTGTCAGATCGTGAGGAAAGTACTGCCGAGAACCGGCAGTTGTCAGAGCGGGGATCGGCACCGATCATCAGGGCACTGATAATCAGTGCCCTGATGATCGGTGCCCAGCAGTGCCACCCGTAAGTTCCGCCCACCTGTGCCCAGCAGTGCGCCCACTAGCTCCACCCACCTGTGCCCTGCAGATCACCCACCTGTGCCCAGCAGTGCACCCACCTGTGCCACTCTGCAATGTCACACACCTGTGCCCAGCAGTGCCACCTACCTGTGCCCAGCAGTGCCACCCACCTGTGCCCACCAGTGCCACCCACCTGTGCCCACCAGTGCCACCCACCTGTGCCCACCCACCAGTGCTGCCCACCAGTGCCACCCACCAGTGCAGCCCAGCACTGCTGCCAGTCAGTGCCACCAGTCAGTGCCCAGCGGTTGTGCCAGTCAGTGCCGCCAGTCAGTGCCCAGCAGTGATGCCAGTCAGTGCCGTCTATCAGTACCCATCATCAGTGTCACCTATCAGTGCCGCCTATCAGTGCTGCATATTAGTGCCGCCTATCCGTGACACCTCATTAGTACTGCCTATCAGTGCCCTTTAGTGCTGCCTATCAGTGCCCATCAGTGCCGCCTATCAGTGTCCATCATTGCTGCCTCATCAACGCACATCAGTGAAGGAGAAAAATTACCTGTTTGAAAAATTTTATAATAGAAACAAAAACTTTTTGGCAATTTTTTATTTATAGCGCAAAAAGTAAAAGCGCCCAGTGGCGATTAAATACCACCAAAAGAAATCTCTATTTGTGAGAAAAAAAAATGATAAAAATTTCATATGGGTACAATGTTGCATGACCGCACAATTGTCAATCAAAGTGCGGCAGCGCTGAAAGCTGAAAATTGGCCTGGTAAATAAGGGGGTATAAGTGCCTGGTAGGCAAGTGGTTAAATAAAGGTCACACTGATTTAAAATCAGTCTGGCACTAGAACACTTTACCTCAAACGCCTAAGACAGACAGTTAAATAATATAAGTGTCACGATATTTAACACCTACTGACACTGTCCTCTGTCCCACTGACACCAGCCTCTGCCTTTCTGCCAGGCCACACACCTTCCACTGCCCCACTGATACTGGCTACTGCTCTACTGACAGACAATGTCCACTTTTAAGATAGGCTAAAGTTATTTTTTTACAGTGACATTTGTTTTTTAATATTTTTCTAAGTTTTCCTTACTATTTAGTTAGGCTGTACTAGATAATTTCTTAAAAAACGAAGGAGCTGAAATCTGGTGATCTTTGATCTCTTTCATGTTGTTCAGGTAGATCTCCGCCTTTCAAAGGTTGCCTACCCCTGCCCTAATCAATCCGTGTGCATTAACATTATTGCTCTGTGTGCCTGGAGATGGGAAAAATCCCCCTGTGACCGGTTCTGCCATAAGAGAAGTGCTATTGCACTCCTCTTTCACTGTGCCAGCGGGGAGATGAGAACGATCTCTCACTGAGTGGCTCTGCTTTTAAGAGAAGTGTGGAAGCACTTCCCTTTAACTCTGAATCTGCAGACAGGGAAATAAAGTGCCAACGGGGACATCAGAAAGATCTCCTTTCTGATAGACAGTGTCACAAGGGAGAGTGGTACTGGCTTTACAACCAATCAAGATGCCTAGCAGGAGATCACGTGACCATATGCCACACTCCCTGATTGGTTGCAAAATCAGTATCATAGAAACTTCTGCAAAGAGAGGGTAAGAGAGTGGGAAAAAAGGGTAAAAGAATTTGGGATTCACACCCCATCATCATTTTTAGTTGTTCCAACCTGCATTTAAGTTCAGGCATATGCCTGCCTAGCCTTTTGATCAGGGGTGTCAAACTGGTGGCCCTCCAGCTGTTGCAAAACTTCAAGTCCCATCATGCCTCTGCCTTTGGGAGTCATGCTTGTAATTGTAAATCTTGCAATGCCTCATGGGGTTTGTAGTTTGGCAACAGCTGGAGGACCGCCAGCTTGACCCCCATGCTTTAGATTGTTTCAAATGGGGTTTAGCCACTAAACTGGGGATTATGGTCAAATGTGAAGGTATATGCAAAATATAGATGAATTGTGAAAAAAATGCTCCAGTTCATCTATTTTTCCTGCTGGGCTGTTTGGGCTTAAAGCAAATCCCTGATTTGTGTCCATAATTTCCTATTTAGTGAAAAAGGTCATACTGTAATCATAAATTGCAAATTGGGTTGCACAAAAACAAGAAAATTACAAAAATAGCCAGCAATCATTATCAATAAAGTGGTTCCGGGTTCTGCAGCGTTCAGCATTTCCTTGGGAAGGGGGTTTGGGGGCATCAGCAAAAAACATTGCTAATTGTGCATGCACAATAAGTGTTTATTTAATTAAAAAATGTTTTTTATACATTTTTTAAAATGTTTGTTTACAGTTATTTAGTCTGCATACACCTATGGTCTATGGATAGCTTTACTGTAAAATAAAACAAGATGCATTTGCCAGTAAATGAGGAAACCATATATTTATTTTTTATATCAGGCTAAACAATTGAAGTATTAATTGTGCATCTTAAGTTAATTGTTCTTTTCTCAAGTGATTTTTTTAAACATAAAAAATAAATATGTAACCTTTGAGAGTAGTGCAATGGGGAAATCCCCACTGAACAACTCTCAAAGGTTACATATTTATTTTGAACAAATTTATTGCTATAAATGTAGCTAAGCCAGAATAAAAATGTTTTATTGCCAATACACTATTTCAACATTTTTTGTTAACTTACAGCATGGAATTATCCAGCATTTAAAAACATCAACAGAGGCAAAGTAGAGTTTTTTTTTGTTATGGTGAAGCAAATGGCAATATATTGACAGATATTTATGTTAAATCCTAAATGGAAAGATCAAATGAAACTGGGGAATTTATACTGAAAGGGTTTCCTGGTAGTCCGATACTACATACAGCTATGTTCATGATCTTGCTGCTGGTTTTATTTATAACATTAACTGGAAATTTGTTCATTATTCTTATTATATGTGCTAATTATCGATTTCACTTTCCCATGTATTTTTTTCTTGGTTTGCTTGTCTTTTATGGAAATAATTGCAAGCGTTACAGTGCTTCCAAAATTGCTGGTTATCCTTATTACAGGGAACTCATCAATTTCTAGAGCTGGATGCTTCATTCAGTCTTATTTGTATTATTTCGTGTCCATGACAGATTTTCTCATTTTGACAGTTATGTCCTTTGATCGTTATCTGGCTGTTTGCTGTCCACTCCGGTACTCTTCCATTATGGTAAACCGAGTCTGTATTAAATTGGTGACTTTTTGTGTCTCAGGAACCTTTGTCCTTCTTTTATATCCAACAATGGTTACCCCAAGCCTGCCGTATTGCCACCATGTGATAGATCACTTTATTTGTGAAAGTGCAGCCATTTTAAAGCTTGTGTGTGTAGACATTACTCTCTTAATATTGAATACAATCATTGTATCAGTGTTTTTATTGATTGGATGCTTAATCATAACAACAATTTCCTATATTTTAATTGTGGTTACTGTGGTAAGAATGCCAGATGTGGGAAGACAGAAGACCTTTTTCAACATGTCTCTCTCATCTTGTTATGCTATCTATTGTTTTTGGCAGTGCTATATTTATTGAGATAAGACCACCCCGACAATTCTCTGTGGAAACAGATAAAGTGGTGAATTTAGTAAGTACTGTTTTGGGACCCCTATTGAATCCTTTTATTTATACATTAAGAAATGAGAAAGTGAAAGAGTGCATCAGAGACACACTGAGACACAGGACAGTTTTCTAAATACCAATTCATATCTCTAATGGTAATATGCTCATACAAACATTGGCCAGTACTTGACACAAAATGCTTTGGATTTGATCTGCTAAAGGTAAATAGACTGTGCACTTTGCCGAGTGAGCAGTTGCTCCAGCGCTTAGTAAATGAGCAGAATCTCTGCTGACTTCCATCATCCAATCATTTGCATGCAAAAATTATGTTTATTTATTTTCCTTCCATGTGATTGGGTATTCTTTGCAAAAGTGAAGCATTACTTCATTTACTAAGATCTGGGGCAACTGCACTTTGCAAAGTGCACTGTCTATTTGCCATTAGTAAAAGAACCCCTTTATCTCTATATAAAAGCAAAAATGCAATCCATGCTGTTTTTGCAAGAGAGAAAATGATTTAAAGAAATTACACCATTGTGTATCGTGCCCATTGTCTGGTTTCTATAGCAGGCAAGAAAGTAAACCATTTTATTTTAAAGAAATAGAGCTACAATAGGCACAAGATGAATGGTTTTGTCCAATATGTTCATATTCTTTTTAAATGGGCCCCAGCACAGGAGAAATTACTCTTACTCTATTTTTTTAATTGCAATGCACCACCATGCATATTCAGGGAATTTCAAATCAGCCCAAATGAAAATTTCATGGAAGGATTCCCTTTAAGAACTACATGTACCTACCTGTTTTTGGTAGCAACAAATTCTTAAAAAATTACTACCAGTTCTCAGGTATAGAAAAAGTGGTGGTAATTAAGAGCAACTAAGTATTCCAGTTGTCAGAGTGGGCCATGCCTGTGATGGGAATGGTGATACAGGTGATATCATTACCCAATTATGGACAATGCCCCTGTTTGGGATATTACCTATCACTGGGTGGGCAGAGCCTGTTGGGGAACTGAGAAATTAGTTCCCCATCAGGTTTGCTTTACTTTTGATTGACAACTGTGGACAGATTCAAAAGCCACTATTGGACTGTCAATCAAAAGTTATTCCGGCCTGATAGGGAACTAGTCTCTAAGTTCTGCATCAGGTTTAGCCCACCTCTGTACAAAACCCTTTGGCCATTCTCCTGTCAATGGGAGGAATGCTTCCCGCAGTGCCATTGTGTTCTTCTGGCAGGAAGCCTTCAATGCTTTCAGAACACAAAGATCACTGCTGGAAACAGGCTGGTTGAACTGAAGTTGATTAATAGAGACCACTGAGTAGAAGAGGCAAGAGGTTACTGCACTTTCATCGTCACAAAGGGCAGCAGCACCACACGTGTCTTTGCCATGTGGACTTAACACTGACAGTGTGGTCCAGCAAAACAGAGCCAATACCACATGCTGATGGAGGGCGGACATGGCCCTTTTGAGCAAAGAATGGTATCTGCGTACCTACTGTGGCAGCACCCAAGTATTGCAGAGTTCCCCTTTAACCACTTCATGTCCAGACACTTTTACCTCCTTCCTGTCCAGGGTAATTTATTTTTTTTTTATATTATTATTTGTTTTTTTTTTATATACTGTCACCCTAGCAGTACAGTGTCACCATGGTGACACTGTACTACTTGTGGGGGGTGATAAAGATTTTTTTTTTTTTAGACTTATTGCTTTTACATCCATAAAGGCTGTAAAAGCAATAATTTCTCCTTCTCTCTGGCTGCATTCTTGATTGGCCAATCAGTGATCACATGATCGGGACCTAGCTCGCACAGAGGTCCCATACGACGATTGGTGTTCCACTGTGTCCAGAGGACACAGCGGGCACCGGATCGCGGTGCTGCGCGCTCCCAAGCAGGGAGCGGGGAGGCCGTTTATAAATGGCCACCCGCCCCTGCACTGCCACCGTCCGGCCGTTTATATACAACGGCTAGACGGGAGGTGGTTAAGCTTTAACATTTCTAAAAGCATCTGTTTGCAGAACCAGGTCATCAGCTCATTTCCTTCCCCCCTCAATTCCTGTGGAACACTGTGTTCCAGTCTAGCAGCTGACACCATAACTTTCAGCTGATGATATTTTATCTAAATGTGAAACCGCAAAGGCTATATCCTGAACTGCTCAGAATGTATTTTAAAGGTACAAAAAGTAAAGAGGAAATATATGCATTGTGACGTAATTGTTGATATATACACCATGTAAGATGCTTTTCAAGGCTCTTGCAGACATGAGTCTGGCTAGGTCAACCAGCTGGTAAATAAAAAGTTTGTTTTTCTCAAGTTTGTGTCCGGAGTTTTCCTGGAATTCCAAAAGTTGCCATTCCACTACCACTGTGGTAAGTCATAAACTGGCAGCAGAAGGAGGGTCCAACAAAGGCAGGACCATAAAATGTATGCTGCTGGATCATTTCACAGCTCATGGACAGGGGTAGACTGACCATTTGGAAACTCAGGCACTGCCCGAGGGCCCGGGGTCAGTAGGGGGCCCCATGAGATGCCCCTGATAACTTTTTCATAGGCTTTTTTGAGTTTGTATATCATAAAAATGCAGCGCTATGAGTAAATGAGGAACTGATACATGTATAAATACAGTAAGTAAAGGAATTAGTCCATGCAGCAGTTAATAATGTGACTTCAAGTGTTCTTCTTTAATTCATATTTTCCTGATATTCAGGCGTTGTGCGGAATGGTGCGGAAGAAATGTGCACTCACCAGAACGCACATATAAATGAGCGTTTGTTAAATATAGGTTCCCCTCTGGATCATTAGGAAAAGGTCTGTAAGGCGATAGCCTCCCTTCAGGATTCCTGGGTACTCCTGTCTGTTCCCTCAGTAGGTGGTCTGCGGACTTCTCCTTACAGCATGCTCCTTGTCCAGTAGATGGATGAGTTGCTGAAAATTGATGCTCCCCAGGGGAGTCAAGACAAGGACATACCCATAGTGTAGTAGGTAAAATATCAAATTTATTAGCATACCAAGCATACCAAGCTATTCGTTGGTGGACAGCAGTAAATGCAAACGAATTATGGACTAACCGTCCAGATTGAAAGATGGCCGCCGGAGCTCCACGATGCTCCGACGGCGTGACGTCACGGCGTTCTTGGCTCCTCCTACGCGTTTCGTGCACACGCACGTCGTCTGGGGGGAATTTGCCAATGAACGCCGAGCCGTGCGTCGTCCTTATATATGCTAGGCGCATGCGCAATGCAACGGCGCCATGTTTTCGAGGTCTAAGCCACAGACAGCTGGATACTAGAACGCGCGCCATTTTTCGTTAGT